ATGTTCAGGGACTCTGGGATCTACAAAAAGAGAAAGAGGTTATAACCTATTTGCAGTCATGTGGGAAACAAAAGATTTAGAATAATCATTTCCTTTTAAACTATTGCAGAGAGTTCTTAACCTGGCAACCAAATTTTTTTCCCAGAGCAAATAGCTGCGCCTTAAAAAAGCAAATTAGATAGTGCCCTTTCTACTTTAAAATATCCAGTATCCTAAAGTGTTAAAACCTCAATTAAAATTCCAAATTCACTGAAGTAAAAAATAGATTTCATCCTAAAGTAAACACCACTAAAGTTGATTTTAGCATAATTTTTGTATACATGTCTCCCCAATAAAGCATTCACTTTATATCACAATGGGACATGACAGGGTAGATACAGAAATATGCTTGCGTTGTAATGCATAACCAAGGTGCTAATATTTAGTGTCTCCCTTCAAATGGTAAGATGAAGTAAAAAGGACATATGAAGCACTTTCTGTTGAATATGAATTAATTCAGGACACAACTGTACAGTAGTACACTGTTGGCTAAATCTTGAAAGTGGAATTCTTTTTTATAAATGTCCCCATTATCTTTTTAATTACAGAAGTCTGACAATGAGTGAGTACAATCACCATTCATTTTGCATTTTAAGCAATTTGCAATATATAAGTAAATGTAAAATGAAGCAAAGGAGCCTTCACATGATTATGGGATAAATTAAGATGTGAATGGTCAGTCAAATCACACAAGTTATCTTCCCTTTGTTGCAATAGTTTAGCATTTATCTTTTGATCTATTAATTTCCAGTTTGTCCTTTCATCCTTTTTTAAAACCATCTTTTCATCTTTTTTGTGGTGATTCACTTTCATATTATAGCTTCAAAGTGTTTTTTTTTTAACCTCAGACTCCGTTAAAATTAAACAAATATTAATGTCCAGGGTAAGACTGCATACCTGTGCAGGGCACATGTTCATTTTATACCTCTGCACCAGCTATTTGTACAGTGGGAATGAGAGGGAAATCAGCTCTGCAGGTAGTAGTAGTAGTCTTGTGTATCCACCAAGAGTTTCACTGTGTAGGAAGGGGCAAGGAATAGGAACACATCTGGCTTTCCCTCTCCAGTGAACTAGCCAGTGTAACTACACCAGGGAACATGCTAAGCCAGGCAAAGCACTTGTAAATGTCCCCAGACCATAAGCAGGGTGTACTAGGAGACAACTTATGAGTCTGAGTCTTAATATACTTCCCAGGCTTTAAATGAGGCAACATAATAATGTGCTGCTCCTTAGTAATAGCTTGCATAAATGCCAAAATTGATCTTTTATAGATTACATTTATATACACCTTGAAATACAAAGATATCAAATTATATTTGAATTAACATAAAATACTATTTTAATGAATAAAGCATTATACTGCAATAATTACCTTGAAACTTCTCTTACTTTCCCTCCTCTGTACCAATACTCCACTGTATCATAGCTAAGAGCTACAATGAAAGCTAAAACTGAGCTATATTCAAGTCAATTGTCTTTCCTAAGACAGTCTACTGCAGGGATTCAAATGTGGAAGTTCCAACTTGTAAAAATGGTGAATTCTGGCAGGAGTTTGTAAGAATCCAGGCCCTTGGTAAACAGGGAATTTTGAAACAAGTCCGCCCTTGTGATGCCTATTTTAAGCCTTTCCTATGATAATCTCTAATTCTTCTGAAACTATACCCACTAATAAATTAAATGAGACATACAACCACATGCAGCCCATTCAAGGCCATATATCTGGATCTATAGAATCTGATAGGTTAGTTTGAGAGTAAAGCTGTTTGGCTTCTTCATTGCTAATAAGGTACTATTTTCAACGGCAGGCAAAGAAACAGTTACGCATCACTTAGGATCCTGTTGTCTATTACTTTCTCATAGCATATAAGTTCACCCTTTGAAATGCCTATAGCTAAGTTGCCAAAGTATATAATATTACCATAATGTCCTAGTGCATCAGGAAGTGGAATCAGTCAACTATGAAATGAATTTGTACTTCCACCAGTCTAATAACAATGGACTGCAGAGGGCTTTCCTCTCAAAACATTTGTTATATTTACGGTTATGGGGAGCCAGGTTTTTTATGTCATTGATAAATGAAATCACAGCTAATCAGAAATTGTCTGACAGATGGCCAGAATTTTAACTTCACTGCAAGATGCATGTCAAATCAAGAGGACAAAAGAGATGAGAGATGTCATACACTTGGTTCTATTAAGATCTTGCCTGTCATTTGTGCAACCTCCAAAAAACCCCCCCAAAAAATAAAACAGGAAAGGGAAAAAATTGGGTTTAATTTTTGATTGATACAAAATGAGGGAATATGGAAGATATGCATTTCTATGGGTATTTTTCCCATTTTAATTTTGATGTTTCTTGAACTGCGGTAAGAAATCATTCTAAAATATACAAGTAAGAATCCTTTTGTAGTTTAGCTTGTATAATTTGTGGAAGGCCATGAAGGCCAGACAAGGAGAGGAGAGGGAGAACTGGGCACATGTGCACCTCTACACATGTGTGCCCCCTAAACTTACCAGCACCAGCAGTGGTGGAGGAGGCAGCAGAGGCAGCGGAGGGGGCAGCAGCAGCTGATCCCGCTAAGGTTAGTGGGGTGTAGGAGCAGGCGCAACTGAGGTGGATCCGGAAGGGAAGCCCCCCAGATCCCTTTTGACTGAACCACCAGGGAGCTCTGCTCCTGAGCCATGTGCTAACAAAATGCGCAAACAGGCACTCTCTGTGAGAGTGCGCCAGTGTTTGAGCCAGTGTATGCACAGGTGGGCAAGCAGAAGAGGCCTGGAGGAAATTCTCAGAAAGGGAGAGGAAAAGGTACCACACTAAAAAAAAAAAAAAAATGATGTGGACATGGAGTTCTGCAAGGGGCTTGCCCAGGGGGTACCGCCTACCTGGGGTTCTCTGAGGCCTCCACCCAGATGGAGCCCATGTGGGAGCTGGTATCACTGTGCCCCCTGGCCTGCAGGGGATGCCCAATGGGGCTGGGGGGACAGGAAATAGGGGCCCCCACACCTGTCCTGCATGTGCCCATCTTAAAGCCTCGGAGGGGCAGGTGAGGGAGCTCCAGAAGGAGGTTAGCAGGCTGAGGGGGATCAGGGAAGCAGAGGATGAAATTGATAGGTATTTTCTTTCCCTACAGGGCCATGCACCAAAGGGAGAAGAGCCCCAGGAGGTGCCCTCCACAGAGGAATGGCAAAAGGTTCCCTCCTGAGCCAAGGCTGTTCACGGTGGTGCAGTACCAGCTCTCTGAGTCCAGATGAGGAAGAGCTATGAGGCCCTGGTGACATTGGAGGAGGAGGAAGGTGAGGAGGAAACCTCTGGAGAGAAGGTCATCTCACGCACAGAATGGGCTGAAGGAGGCAAACTGACCCAGAAGAAGAGATGCCAGGTACTCGTCATAGGTGACTCAATCATGAGAGGAACAGAGGGTCCCATCTGCCGTCAGGATCCCAAGACACGTGGGGTCTACTGTTTGCCCAGAGCATGGATTCAGGATGTGACAGAGATGATCCTGGCCCTCATCCAGCCCACTGGTTAGTACCCCATACTCCAAATACATGTGGGTACTAATGATGTACCCAGGAGCAGTCCAGCTCACCTAATGGACTACCAAGCTCTGGGGGGCAAGCTGAAGGAGATAGAGGCACAGGTGGTCTTATCATCGGCCCTTCCAGTGAGCAGATGGAGAGGACGCCATGAGACCTGCATCTGGGACGTCAACTTGTGGCTTCAGGAATGGTGTCTCGAGGTGGGGTTCAGCTTTCTGGACCATGACCCATACTTCAGGACAAGAGACATGCTTGGGTGGGATGGGCTTCACCTCTCCCCCAAAGGTAGGTGTGCATTCTCTTTCAGGTTGGCTGATCTCTGGTGGGCTTTAAACTAGGCTCATTGGGGAAAGGGGAGGATGAAGATAGAGCCACAGAACACCAAACCAAGAGAAAGCCACAAGAACAGCCCAGCCAAGACAGGCAACAAACACAAGAAGTACCCAGGTAAGAGACAGGGGCCTGGACAGTCTTGGGATTGGGGGGGTGGTTCACACACCCTCTAAAATGCCTTCTTAAATGCCTCTACTCTAGTGCTTATAGTATGGGGAACAAACAGGAGGAACTTGCTCTCCTGTTAGCTAACACAAACCCAGAGAAAGTGGGGTTCACTGAAACTTGGTGGGATCCAGCACATGAATGGGCAGTAAACATCAAGGGCTATAGGCTGTATAGGCAGGATAGAATGGGGAGGAAAGGTGGGGGCATGGTGCTCTATGTCAGAGAGTAATACACATCCTTAGCAAACAGCACCGGATCTGAGGTTGGGCAGACTGAGGTGCTCTGGGTCAGAATACAAACGGGACAGGAGGAAAGGAACTTAATGGTGGGGGTCTACTACAGACCACCCAATCAGGGGGAAGAGCTGGACCGGGAATTCTCAGGTCAGCTCGTGGAGGCAGTTAGGTCAAGGGACATAGTCATCATGGGGGGACCTAAACTATCCAGACATCTGCTGGGAAGAGCAGTAAGCCAGGTCTGACTGCTCATGGAGGTTCCTAGCTGATTTACAGCCTCTCCACCTAACCCAGGAGGTGCACAGTCCCAGCAGGGGACATGCATTATTGGATCTGATCCTGGTCCTTGCCACAGGTGATGACCTGGTGAGAGGACTGTGGGTTCTCAACCACCTAGGGGATAGCAATCACTGCCTGCTGGAATTCACCATCCAGCACAGGGTGTCAAATGCCTGCAGCAAGGCAGCAGCCCTGGACTTCAGGAGGGTGGATTTAAATGAGGTAAGGAGAATAGTCAGGGAGACACTGAGGTCCCAGAGGGGAGGTGATTTGGGAGTCCAAGAAGAGTGGTTGTTCATGAACAACATGAACCTCCAAGCCCAAAGGATGACAATCCCCATGTGGATCAAAGGGGGCGGGAGTGCTCAAAAGCACCCAGGGCTCACCAAAAGCATCCACGAATGTCTCAAAGCCAAAAAGGAGCCGTACACCCAATGGAAGTGTTGCCCTGTGGGGTCAGGCCAACTCTCAGGATCTCAATATTGCACTGTTAGACAGGAGGGTGTAACACAACTGCACATATACAAACACACAAATCAATCAGGTGCACACACACGCACACTACCAGCTCACAGGCACATGCACATCCAAATCAGCCTAGACACTTTCATACCTATTACCAATTCAAGCACATAGACTATATACTCCAGAAATTAAACACAGATCACTAATTCATATATCATGCACACAATGCCATATCTATATATATTTATACACACACACACACACACACACACCACTCGCACTAGCAACTCAGATGCACACACTTTCAAAATAACTAGTCTAGGTTCATGCACATCTATCACCAGTTTAAGCCCATACACACTACACACACCAAATTTAGACAGAATCAGTTACCAGTTACCAACACTTGTACATTCAAAGCACATATGTGGATTACTAATTCATATACCACACACACACACAATGATATCCATATATGTGTGTATATATATATGTGTACACTAATTTACACACATACCACCCACCTACACATACACACAGGTGAGTTCCTGAGTTGGGTGTTGTGATGTGTATGTAAGTATGTGCTTGGTGTACTTGGGATACCTGCGGGAAAGGTTAAGGTAAGAAAGTAGAAGTGTAGGGGGTTAAAGTTACCAGGACTGGGATTAGAACCAGTAGATTACAGGGGCCTGGGCTGAAGAACTGAGGCTTGGGGATAACTTCAGGTTAATTGATCTTAAATGATTAAAAGACAATGACCATAGCCTGCAGAACAGGGAAGCATGGTGGCACAGTCTGGGACTGGAGTCAGAGCTATGCAGTTTTGGGTGTCTGTAATGGTGAGAGTTGCTGGTTCTGCAGCGTCTTTTGTCTTTCAAATGCTGGTCTTGTCTCTGTTCCTGGGTGAGATGCATGGTTTCTGGATGAATCAATGTGAGGCAATGGCCCAGTTGTTACAGGCCATTCAGAAGAGGCCTGCTACCATTGTATTTCAATCATGCCCAATCACACTCATTCATTTGGGGAACCAATTTACATGGGAGGGATATGTGACTCATACAGTTGCAACACACAGGGGATGCCCTGGCAGAGGGCACAAGATGGAGACTTGACATGGAAACTTGACATGACTTTTGTTCACTTACAAACACAGGCCTAAACCATACAATATCCATGTGAAACAATAAAAATCAATACAAAAATGATAATAATACAATATAAAACAGTGGATATCCAAAACCAAAAACTTGCTACCAAAATAAAAATGTTTAAATCTTATCCTGCATCTTAGCTTACTTATACTTATCTGTAAGGAATAGAGAGGGAGTGAAAAAGTCAGAAACAGTTGGGGAAGGGGAGTGAATGCAATAAAATAAAATTTAAAAAAAAGAAAAACTGGGGGTTTTGCTACAGAAGGTAGGGGCCATCACCAAGGAGGATTATGTCTCCATTGCTTGAGATTGTAGGGTGGCTGTAAGGCAGGCTAAGGCAGAGATGGAACTGGGACTAGCGATCCAGATGAAGGATAACAGGAAGTCCTTTTTTAAATACGTAGTGGGTAAAAAGAAGGTAACGGGTAATGTGGGGCCTCTGCAAGACACACTTGGAAATCTGGTGGTCGCACCAGTTGATAAAGCTAACCTCTTCAACAGATTCTTTGCTTCCATTTTTCTGAGGAGGGACAGGGAAATCCCCCCCACTGGGATCTCAGCCATACCCAGGGGAGGCGCAGCCCAGCCCAGGGTCAGTGAGGACCTAGTCAGGGAATTTCTAGTGGGACTAGATATGTTCAAATCAGCAGGTCCTGATGATCTCCAGTCTAGAGTGCTGAGAGAATTGGCAGAGGTGAATGCAGAACCCCTGGCAGAGCTTTATGAGCACTCATGGTGCTCTGGCAAGGTGCCAGAAGACTGGAAAAGGGCCAATGTGGTCCCCATTTTCAAAAAAGGGAGGAAAGAGGACCCAGGAAACTGTAGGCCTGTTGGTCTTACCTCAGTCCTAGGAAAGCTCTTTGAGAAAATTATCCAGGAGCACATCTGCGAGAGAGCAGCAGGGGAGATTATGCTTAGGGGCAATCAACATGGGTTCATTAGAGGCAGGTCCTGTCAGACCAACCTGGTTGCCTTCTATGACCAGATCACACAATCCTTGGACACAGGTGTCACAGTGGATGTAGTCTTTCTGGACTTTAAGAAGGCCTTCGACATTGTCTCTCACCCCATCCTCATTGATAAATTAGGCGACTATGGAGTCAACACCTACATAATCAAATGTATCGCTAACTGGTTGGAGGACCGCACCTAGAGAGTGGTGGTGGATGGGTCATTTTGAACCTGGAGGGATGTGGGCAATGGGATTCCCCAGGGCTCGGTCCTTGGGCCTGCACTGTTCAACATTTTCATCAACGACTTTGACAAGGGGGTGAAAAACACCTTGTTCAAATTCATGGATGACACTAAAATGTGGGGAGAAGTGGGCATGCCAGAAGACAGGGACAGGCTACAACTAGAACTGGACAGGTTACAGAGGTGAGCGGATGACAATAGGATAGGTTTCAATACGGTCAAGTACTGCACCTGGGGAGGAATAACCAGAAAATACCTACAGGGTGGGAAACTCCCATCTTGTCAGCACAGAGGCAGAGAATGATTTCGAATTCACTATTGATTCCATGATGAACATGGGCTGCCAATGAGGGGAAGCAGTCAGAAAGGCTAACCGCACCTTGTCATGCATCCATAGATGCAACACGAACAAGTCCAAGGAGGTGATTCTCCCCTCTATGCAACATTGGTCAGGTCGCAGTTGGAGTACTGCATCCAGTTCTGGGCACTGCACTTCAGGACAGCATCAAGAGGGTCCACAGGGGGGCAAGTCACATGATCAGGGGGCAGCAGGGTAGGCCCTATGAGGAGAGGCTATGGGACCTGAACCTGTTCAGCCTCCAGAAGAGAAGACTCAGAGGGGATCTGGTGTCCATCTACAAACTGGCCAAGGGGGACCAGCAGGCAATGGGAGAGTTCCTGATCCCCCGAGCACTACTGGGAGTAAGAAGGAATAATGGCCATAATTTTACTGAGAGTAGATTCAAGCTAGACATCAGGAGTTACTACTTCACAGTCAGGGTGGCCAGGAGCTGGAACCAACTTCCAAGGGAAGTGGTGCACGCTCCTACCCTGAGGGTCTTTGAAACGAGGCTAGACGTTCACCTAGCTGGGATCGTTTGACGTCCGCATTCTTTCCTGCCCATGGCAGGGGGTCAGACTTGATGATCTGATTAGGTCCCTTATGACCCTACCAACTATGAAACTATGAAACTATAAGGCCTGGTTCAGACTGTAGAACAAAAACTTACATGAGTAGTCCTATTAACTTCAATGCAAATTATTAATGGTGAGATTCCTAAATTGTCAAGTGCTAGTTTGTTCAGTTGGAAAGCTCTGAATAAGAGATAATTCTACAGCAAAGAGTGCAATTCAGCTAGGTGCAATATGATCAATTCGAAGTATGAAACAAAGTGTTTCTACACATTGATTTCTTCACATCTTGCAACAATCTTTCTAACCTTCATGATAGATTGACTCTTCAAATTACAGCACACATTTATCTGAATGAAGTATCCATACCATGAAATCAATACACAGTTGTGTTCTTGCATTAAATACCTCCTTTTAAAAAGCACTATTAAAGCAATATAGAGGCAAATAGGTATGAGGTCTAACTTCTAGCTTGATCAGATGCTAGAAAATGAGGATGTTGAAACACAATAATGAAGACTTCCAAGAAGGTGGAATTGTTTTGTAAGGATGAGATCAAGATTATCCTGTCATAACAGTTCCTGACAGTTATTTTCAGCAATCCAAATTTGGTGAGAGCGTGTTGGGCAGGAGAGGGGAGGAGAAAGAAGCCAAAATTATGCTTCAGCTGTGCTATTTAAGCATAGTTTTGTACTAGGGGCAGTCTAAAGCTACAGTATATTGTCTTTGTAGAAATGTTATACCAGCAAAAGCCTTATTATAAATGTTTACTAGGAAAAAGTTTGTCCATTCAGGGAGAACATGTGAGATTTACCAGTAAGAGTTCTTTTGCAATGTAAGCTGACATTCCCACATATGATTTTCCTAATAAAGTTATATTGCAAACCTTTTCAGTTATAGACTTAGCTTCAGAGCTATGTCTCTTTTCCCTTCTTGTACACACCTGCCTATAAGAGAGAGTCAGAAGGGGCCAATCCTTTAGTGTAAGGACTGTACTTGTGCCATATTATTCTTTCTGAATGATACATGAGAATGGAGAATGTTCTTTTACATCACCACTTCCTTAGGAGCCTGATAAGGGATAGTCTTTCCCTAAGAACTGCTGAGAAAACATAAAGGACCACACTTGCAAATTATGTATTTTCACATAATAATCTATATTTGAAATTAAGAAGGATTTAAGAGTAGAACCAATGCAAATATTCTAAACTTATTTTTTAAATCACAACAGGCCTATCAAAAGCAAGGAATAATGCACAAAGAATATTAAACATTTTCACCATTTCAAAAGTCTTTTTTGGGGGGGAAATTCAAAAATGTAGTGTCATTCAATCAATATTTTAATCAAAAAGCTATGCATTACTTTTTCCTTTTGCGACAAAAAACCCCACAAAACTTCCAAACTATTGCAGTAATGCCTTCAATCTACTTTAAAAATTATGAAAAAAGTTTCATTTAAAAATATCTATATCTATTTTGAATCCTGCAAAACAGAAACAACTACACTAAATTTTTTCCAGAATTTTTGTTTAAAATATTATGCTGATTACTAATAAATGTTACTCTGTAACACAGAAAGAGGTCTTTGAGATGATAAATGGCCAAGTTAGCTTTTTGGGACCCATGTCAATAATGGTTTGAATCAGACAACTACATTCCACCTGAAATACATCACCCAAAAGATTATAACTTGTATAACTGATTTAACAAGAAAGTATTAAGGTTTATATGCATACACTAGAAAGGAAAAAGTAAAATTGAGTCATAGTGCTGTCTTTATATATTAACAAATAATTTCAATTAGATACACTCCAATATACTCCAAATTAGTTTATGGCCAGGCTATAAATATGGCACTAAACAAACAAAAATGTAGTGTACATACATATACCAGCATTACCCTATCCTTAAGTCTTAATGTTACAAAAATCTCTAGAACCCAAATGGAGTCTTTTACATCATTGTAAATTCTTAAAACTCCACTCCACAGATATTGCTCATGTAAAAGGCTTTTTTCCTCTTTCTTCTAGATAACCTGTGAATTTTATTTGAATAAATTATTTAGAACAACTATTGAACGGCACAGAATAACCTGGGTACATCTCAAAGGGCTCAGGTAAGAGATTTTGGAGATTTTTCCAGAGTGGGATTGGTTATGCTTAGGGAATGGATTTTTACAGTAAAATTTGCAAGAAGTAGGGGAGTCAAGAAAAGAGGCCTAAAGGAAAAAGTCAAGTAGTAGGGGAATCAAGGAAAGAAGCTTTCAGCTGCCAGGAGCACCTGACAATTCAATTTGGGAGGAGTGGCTGAGCAGCCCAACCAAGAACAACATGTGCCCCTGGCAGCTGCGGGGTGGCGGGGCATGGCGGTGGTGGGAGTGCAGTGGCAGCGGCAGTGGGAGCTTGGTGGCAGTAATAAGGGGAGTTCCTGCAGATACCACTGGTGCTGTCAGCAGCAGGAGGGGTAGCAAGCGCCAATCAGGGGTTGGCAGTCACCTGCAGACACTGCCGGCAGTGTCAGCAGTGGCCCACGGGGATTGCAGACTACCTGCAGATACTGCTGGTGGTGTTGGCAGTGGAGTGGCAAGCAGCTACTGCCCACAGGCACCATTGACAGTGTAGGCAGCATCTTTTTGTAGGGAGTGCACTGCCATGCTCAGTGGGTGCACGTGCACCCCCTATGCATTGCCTCTGAGCCTAACTCTGATTGGGGTCACAGCCAACTCAATGTGCCCTGCTGATTGCCCACCAGGCTGAGGGACATGAGTTAGGGAACTCGGCTCAGACAGGATCAGGCTCTCAGCTTCCCCAGATGGCAAAAGTGCAGGAGGAACTGAGGGGGTTGTAACCGCACCACCTCATTCCTTTGGATTTGGCTCCTGGGTGGAGGTGAAAAGGGCTGGAGATAATATGGCATTTGTAGATAAGACTTTAAAGTTGGTTCAAAGTGGGTTAAATGCCTTCTGCACCACTTCAGTGGTAGTGCTGTTTGCACATTTGGTGGTGTAGTGCATGTTAATTCCAGCCACTGTAGCACATTTTGTGGCTTAATGTGTTTTAAATGACTTCGGGACACAGCAAATGACTTTGGGGTGCTGCAAAGTAAAACACCTCCAAGGAGTTTTAGTTTCCTACTCTACAGATGCAGAAGGAAACACCAAGCTCTGTGCAGCCCAGGGGCTGTGCAGTCAGACCTTGCAGGCAGCCCAACAACAGCCCGGGAAGGCAGGCTCCACAGAAGGAAAAAAAAAAAAAGTGGCAAGCCTGATCTTTTTTTTTTTCTTTCA